AGGTACAGGGGTGTCCTCTTCACCCAAGTGTGGAGTGGCGACGCCCCTGTCCTGAGGAAAGAGATCGTTGCCCTGCTGGCGAAGGACGCGATCGAGCCGGTCCCTCCAGCCGAGATGAGGTCTGGGTTCTACAGCCCTTACTTCATTTTACCCAAGAAAAGCGGTGGGTTACGACCAATCCTGGATCTGCGTGTTTTGAATCGGGCCCTTCACAAGCTCCCGTTCAAGATGCTTACGCAGAAACGCATCTTCGAGTGCATCCGTCCCCAGGATTGGTTTGCAGCGATCGACCTGAAGGACGCGCACTTTCATGTCTCGATTCTGCCTCGACACAGACCGTTTCTTCGGTTTGCGTTCGAGGGTCGGGCATATCAGTACAAGGTCCTACCCTTCGGCTTGGCCCTGTCGCCCCGCGTCTTCACGAAAGTCGTGGAGGCGGCCATTGTTCCCTTGAGAGAACATGGCGTTCGCATTCTCAATTATCTCGACGACTGGCTGATAATAGCTCACTCGCGAGATCTGTTGTGCGATCACAGGGACCTGGTGCTCCGGCACCTCAGCCGGTTGGGACTTCAGGTCAACCGAGACAAGAGCAAACTCTGCCCCACGCAGAGGATCTCTTATCTCGGTATGGAGCTGGACTCGGTCAGTCAGACTGCGCGCCTCACCGAGGAGCGCGTCCAGTCAGTGCTCAACTGCCTCAGGTCTTTTCGAGGCAGGTCAGCGGTCCCACTGAAGCAATTTCAGAGGCTACTGGGGCATATGGCAGCCGCAGCCGCAGTAACGCCGCTCGGCCTGTTGCATATGAGACCGCTTCAGCGCTGGCTTCACGATCGAGTCCCGAGATGGGCGTGGCAGAACGGCACGTTCCGGGTCAACATTACCCCGCACTGTCGCCAAACCTTCAGTCCTTGGTCGGACCCTGCCTTTCTACGGGCCGGAGTGCCCTTAGTCCAGGTGTCCAGGCATGCTGTGGTTTTCACGGATGCCTCTGCCAACGGATGGGGGGCCACGTACAACGGGCATGCAGTCTCAGGTCTGTGGACGGGGCCTCAGCTGCATTGGCACATCAATTGCCTAGAGTTGCAAGCAGTACGCTTAGCCTTGTGCCGCCTCAAGGGGCTGCTTCTGCACAGGCATGTACTGGTCCGTACGGACAGCACTGCGACCGTGGCGTACATCAACCATCAAGGTGGTCTACGCTCCCGTCGTATGTCGCGACTCGCCCGCCATCTCCTCCTATGGAGTCAGAAGCATCTGAGGTCGCTTCGGGCCATTCATATCCCTGGTGTGCTCAACCGTGCAGCCAACGAGCTCTCACGGCAGCCGCCCCTTCCGAGAGAATGGCGACTCCATCCCCAGGTGTTTCAGCTGATATGGGGAATCTTCGGAGCCGCTCAGATAGATCTGTTTGCCTCTCCGGACACGACCCATTGCCAGTTGTTCTATTCCCTGACCGGAGGATCTCTCGGCACGGATGCACTGGTGCACAGCTGGCCCCAGGGCCTTCGCAAATATGCGTTTCCCCCAGTGAGCCTTCTCACACAGACACTGTGCAAAGTCAGGGAGGACGAGGAGCAGGTCTTGCTAGTTGCGCCGTACTGGCCCAACCGGACCTGGTTCCCGGAACTCATGCTCCTCGCGACAGCACCTCCCTGGCCCATCCCTCTGAGGAAGGACCTGCTTTCTCAGAGACGGGGCACTCTATGGCACCCGCGTCCAGACCTGTGGAGACTCCATGTCTGGTCCCTGGACGGGACGCGGAGGTTCTAGATGGCCTACCACAAGCTGTGGTAGACACCATCGCTTCCGCTAGAGCCCCCTCTACGAGGCGCCTCTATGCGTTGAAGTGGAACCTGTTCGTCGTTTGGTGCTCTTCCCGCCGGGAAGACCCCCGAACTTGCCCAATCAGTGTCGTGCTTTCCTTTTTACAAGACGGGTTGGAGCGAAGGCTGTCTCCCTCCACCCTCAAAGTATATGTGGCCGCAATAGCTGCCCATCATGATGTGATCGACGGGAAGTCGTTAGGGAAGCACGACCTGATCATCAGATTCCTTAAGGGTGCTAGGAGGTTAAATCCCCCTCGTAATTTGCACCCTGTACCCTCTTGGGACCGCCCTGGTGCTGAGAGCGCTTCAAAGGCCCCCATTTGAGCCCTTAAATTATATAGAGCTAAAAGTTTTGTCTGAAAAAACTGCTCTTCTATTGGCTCTAGCTTCCTTCAAGAGGGTCGGGGATCTGCAGGCTTTTTCGGTCGCCGAATCGTGCCTAGAGTTCGGACCTTTCTCACGTGGTTCTGAGACCCCGGTTCGGATATGTGCCCAAGGTTCCTACCACTCCATTTGTAGATCAGGTAGTGAACCTGCAAGCGCTGCCCGTGGAGGAGGCAGACCCAGCCCTGACTTTTCTCTGTCCCGTACGTGCACTACGTTGTTATATGGACAGAACGCAAAGCTTCATGACCTCAGAACAGCTCTTCGTCTGTTACGGAGGCCAGCAGAAGGGGAAGGCTGTCTCCAAGCAGAGGTTAGCCCACTGGCTAGTGGATGCTATCATCCGGGCTTATGAATCCCAGGACGTGCCTTGCCCACACAGGTTGACGGCTCACTCCACTACGAGTGTTGCTTCCTCCTGGGCGTTGGCACAAGGCGCCTCGCTGGCAGATATCTGCAGAGCTGCGGGCTGGGCGACACCTAACATGTTTGCCAGGTTTTATAGCTTACGTGTTGAACCGGTTTCCTCCCGTTTACTCGCTACGGCCAGTGGCGCGAGGGAGTAGGCTTGCTGCACCACTCCCGCCTTATGAGCCGGATCCGTGGGCTTTTTTGCTCCGTTGGTTCCCCAACAAATGGCTAACCTCGTGAGTTCCTCCATCACCCTCCGGCACCAGGCGAGGCGGATCGCCCGGCGCCAGGTCTATTACCTCTCATAAGAAGTTGTTAATTGACTGGGTGACCTTCACGGTGGTTTCTACGTGACCACTCTCCACGTTCCAGCTACCCTCCGGGCTAGCTCCATGTCTTCCCCTCGACAGATTCATTCTGTCGTCCTTGCTGAGTACGCTCCCACCCTACGGGCTGGGGCTACCTCAAGGACTCCCGTATGTTTCACTACCCTACGGGCTAGTACATGCGTGTATTCCAGTGCCTACCCTCGGGCAGGCCAGGGGCTCCGCAACGTTCCCTCCTACAGGTTGGGCACGTTTCCCCAGTGTTATCCAAGTCCACTGAGCGGGTCTTGCGGAACAGCAGTGTGATTTTTTCCTAGCTAGCTCCCGCCCTAAAGAAACTAAGAAACTGCTTGGCGGGTAGCTCAGCTGGGCGCTGGAAGGGGCTAGCACCATGGCGTTTTATTTGGGATCCCAATTCATTGGAAACTCCTCAGACGAGACGTAGGAGTTCCCATACGAAAGGGAACGTCTCGGTTACGTATGGTAACCCTCGTTCCCTGAGTAGGGAGCGGAGACGTCTCGTCCCCTCGCCATGTTTGCTGTACCTTCGCGGGGGACTGGACACCGTCCGGCTCCTCAGCGTAAAGCAATGGTATGTGCGTTCGCTTCCGCTTTTATACCCGCATTGATAGGCGGGACGCGGAATGCAAATCCCGCATGCCAATATTTATTGGCTCGTTTTAATTCACTCGAAGGCAATTGGTCTCCCTAGCGTGATCTCAATTCGTTGGAAACTCCTCCGACGAGACGTCTCCGTTCCCTACTCAGGGAACAAGGGTTACCATACGTAACCGAGACGTTTTTCATCTTAAAGTTTATGCAAGTAAAATTTATATATTTCGCTTGAAAACATTTCAGAGTAATATTGATGCTGTTTTGTTTTGATTTGTTTGAAAAATAATGTGTAGTTTTCTTGCATCACACTGGCTTTTGCTGTAGTTCTTGTAAAATTGTACATTTCAAAGAATTTTTTATTTTTTTAATCAATAATGATGGTGTAAATGTAGTAATAGCATGGTAAAAACATGGCAACATTCAAAACTTAAAACATTGGTTTTAGTTGAAAATATTACATTTTTATAAGCTTACCTTTTTGGGAATGCAACAGGTGTATACAGCTTTAAATGCATTACAGGGGGTTAAGGTGGCTACGATCTGACCAACTGAAGCGTTGCCTTTCTTTAATGTAATAATGCCCCCAAGTGTGCAACAAGAGTGTGTCAGTCAAAACTGAAGCTCCCAATGGTAACCCCCTGGTGAAGTTCATGACTTGGCATATTGCATAACATATGCATCCCCCCCCCACATAGAATTTCAACTATTTAATATTAGATGGGTTTTGGACATTTTCAAGCAACACAGAACACCTAATATCCCTCTAAGGAACAACAGTGTCACGGTTTAGGATTAAAGTTAGAAACCTCACTGTGATTTCTCACTTTTCATATCTTTCCATGGTGTTTAAGAATATCATAACATTTCCACAGCATGATATTATACAAACATGTTTGGGAGGAAATTGTTTTCACAAACTCGAAAACATCCCACCTTGATTCCAAATACAAACACACTTTTACACAAATAACCTGAAGTAGCCTTAACAGGCTGACGTGTCTATAGTGAAACAGACTTAGGACTTTATTTGGAAACATGTTGAAGTTCAATTACGCAAGACAAGAGCCTATGAGCATTTATCTGTCTGCTGGTGGATGGGGCACAGAATATAAAAGACGCTATCGTAGAGTATTATCATAATAAAAGAGCTCAGGTATGAGCTTTCCTTATTCTTAAATGTAGACTGATGATCAAAGTCAGCACGTTTGTATAATGTGATCAGTCAGTTTGTCTCTTTATGTGAAAAGCCATATCTTTTTAACAAGTAATCTCATTTTAGTCATTCTTATCTTACAACAAACCCCAGCAAAAAGCACAGCTACATAAACACACATACACACTCGCATAGCATTTATCTGAGACGGTTGCACTTTGGCACTTGGGTTATCAGGTCAATAAATCTGCAACCATATATATAAGATAGGCCAAAGAGTGTTTGCCTCTAACCCATCTGACACACTTTCCGCAGAAGAGAAACTGTGAGTACAGCCATATTTTCCCTCTTGTATTAATTAAAGGGCATTATAAAAATGTTCAGATAATAGGACAGATTTTATGATGCTTGACTGTTTAGCACCTATGAATCCATAAATCTGCTGAATTCCTATAATGCACATGACGCAAGTCTTTATAGAAGACTGTACGAGGAATATTTTTAAAAAAGCATGAAAAAGGTTAAGGTTTTAGGTTAAGTAAATGCTTTCTTACAAAAAAATAAGTAAGAGTAAAGTAAAATAAATGAAAATGAACTGTTTATATACTACTAAATCTGCCTTGTAATGTTCAGCAACACAAGACAATCTAGTGTAACAGAATATATATCGTTAGCCTCATAGCATAATTGCCTAAGTCATTTTGAGTTTTTTCTTGTTTTCCAAAGACATTGAAATATGACTTAGGCAATTATGCTATGAGGCTAACGATATGCTTTTTAGCTTATTGATGAGTTAATTGAGTTTGTCACAAGGGATAAAATACTGCCCCCTTGTGGTCATATTTTTATTTTCATTCTTGTGCTGTCATTATCTGACCAGTGCTTTACTGAATCCCTCAGACCTACCTAGCAATATGAACAAGCTTCTGGCGATCACAGTGCTCATTGCTTTCCTTGCTCTGGGTACGTACACACACTCATAAGCACACACACACAATTAGATTTTTATTATGTCCCCTTTGCGGCTGATAGTGTAAAGTGACAATGAAACATCGGCCAAACTTTCCCTCCCCCTGCAGGAGCGGAGAGCTTCCGTGTGCCCAGGCAGGCAGAGGAGGAGGAGAAGGGAACCATTGCCACTGTGGTGGACAGCCTGAAGTCTTACTACGACCAGAGCGTTGGCACTGCCAGCAGCTATGTAGAGAGCATCAAGGGCTACAAGCTGGAAGAGAAAGCCAAGTAAGTCCAATTTTATATGTTACCCTAGTCCGTACTCACAAACATTCCCTTTATCAACTCCTCTGGGCTTTTAGAGTTACATGGTCAATAAAGAGCTTTTAATGTTCACAACACCCTGACCATGATGACTCATTATTAATTTTGTTCTGACATTTTCTTTCCTCCCTCATCAAGAAACCTGTATGACGAGACAGTTCGTGCCGTCAGCACCTACGCCGGCATCTTCAACGACCAGGTGTACCACATTTTGTACCCTCAAGACAGCTCTTAAGTTCCATATATCAGACCTCAACACCGCTCCATCTGTTTCTGGTCCTGAGTCTGTCACTACGCTGGAATCACAATTACATGCATCCTGCAAGAAGACGGCACAGTCTGGGGTGAAAACATGACTTTTGAACTCTTATCTCCCAATGACCAGTTAGCTCTGCCCTGTCAACTTCAAAAGCACCCTGACACACATCAGTGGAAAAGTATGTGAAGTAAAATCAGGAATAAGGCTCAACCACGTCCTGTTTTTGGATGAAGATTAGAGATTCTACGCATGACTGTTACCTGGTCACCTCTAACATGCGTCTAGGTTAAAACAATCATCGACTGTTTCATTGTCTGTATAGATTAAATAAATCCTTGTATGATATCAACTTTAAGTGGTTCTGTGTCCATGAGCATTAACACATTGCAATAAAACTCCACATTTGTAGAAAAACAAGCCATTTTCTTTGCTTGTGGGCCTTTGCGTAAGTAATAGCAAACAGATCGAAAATATGAACACTCTAATTACCAATCATTTTGAAGCATAAGTGCTACAAAATGTGCAAGTTTACACACTGCCATGAAGAATAACTTGTAATTGGATTAATTTCCATGGCATCTGCAAATAGAAGTCTTTTTAGAGGGATCAAAGGATGCAACTGTTTACATTAGGCCTTATGGGAATGCAAACAATCTCTCCATCAGTTAAGTACAATTTGTCATGACTGATTAAGGAATTTCAATATAATGAGCTTTATAAATTAAATAACATTTTAGCAGCATAAGATGATCCTCTTCGTTTAACAATTCAAAGATGTAAATATTACACAAAATAAGTCCATCAGACATTGCTGAAACTGATATGCTATAACATATAATTATCATGCAACATTAGATTAACTTTTTTAACCATTAACTATGTTGGCAATGAAACAACACAACCTTCCTCAAGTCATATCTGTGGAAAAAAAGGTTCCAAGACTGAGAATTATTTTTATTTATTTACTTATGGTTACTTTACAGACTGTTCTGTCACATTTCATTTAAGATATTCAGTATATTAAATGATACAATAAAGCATGTCTATATACACTACTGTTCAAAAGTTTGGGGCTAGATTTTTTTAATATAATATTTTTGAGACTGTAAAAAATATTTTAGCAATTTAGTTATTTCAACTTATTTTTTTGTGTAGAGATAACTAGATTGTCCAGACAACAAGAAATTTTAAGTTTTCTTGTCCTCAACTTATCGAAATAAGTTAGTTAAATTAAAAAAAAAAACATGCAAAAAGATAACACAAAATAATGAGTTAAGTTTTTTTACAGTGTATTTAATCCACACCAAAGCTGCATTTGTTTGATCAAAAATACTGTAAAACAGTAATAATGTGAAATATTATCATTTGTTTTCTATTTTATTTTTAAAATGTAATTTATTCCTGTGAGGACAAAGCTGAATTTTAGCATCATTACTCCAGTGTATGGTGTCACATGATCCTTCAGAAACTATTCTAATATGCTGACTGTTGAATACAATTGTGCTACTTTAATATTTTTGTCGATAATCATTTCTACTTATCTGCATCATTACAATCATTTAGACTGATTTAAAGATGTAATACCTGCATAACACTACAATTGCATATCTGACCATAACCCGGTTGTGGTTTCAGGCAGAAGATTATCAGGGAATAACAACTTAAATTTCAGTCTGTTCTTAAAAGAGTTGGAATGTAGTGATTGAGTTCAATGATTTAGTCCTTTTTGGAGATTGACAGATGTGGTCATTATGATCACTGGTTCAAGAGCTGTTTAGAAAAAGAAAAAAGAAAAAAGTTTGGCACAACATGAGGAAGAGTAAGTAATGACAGTAATATTTCTTTATGCTTCACCCCATATGAACACTACAACCCAATAGTCATGCTCTCTATACAGACTGATTTTAGGTTTAAATATTTATAAATCGTCAGGTTTGCACAAACAGAGCTAGTAGCAGATAGAAAGGGGTCAGCCGTGGCACACAGCAGGCAGTGTACTTTGCTCCAGGGCAACAGCTGAATTCAGACGAAAAGCTTTCTGAAAGGAATTCAGAACAACAACCTTGTTTAATCACCTGCCACATCGAAAATAGAATAAACTATCATCTATTCTTTCTACTGAGAATTGATTAATTTCAGATCCCCATTTACAATTATAATGTCAAAATACAAGCGGGGTATTGATCTAATTCTGTTGATAATATTCCTAAATCTGCATGTTATATAATATTGTAAACTGTTTATAGACTCAAGTGAGTTTTACACGTAATGTGAAATTCATTGACTAAGCCTGATAAGAAAAACAAACGTGAATGTACTCTGATAATATTGTGCAACAGTGACAAGAATCAATTATTAACTGATGTTACTTACCATCTTGTTGGCAAAACTATCGCCTGGCCTTCACATAGCATAAAAAAGGGTGAAACGGCAGCAAAAAGTTAACGATGATGTCGATTTGCACTATTTAATCATCTCTTTTGACATGTTATTTATTTATTTATTTATTCATTCATTATTTATATGTATTCAGGTTACAAATGGCTGGTTAAGATAATAAATCAATACTGGGGCTTCCCTATTAAAAAAAAAATATATATGGCACATTAACTTTTAAAATAGATTTATTTTTCTTAGCATTCACAATTAGAGCGTGGAATATAGAAATATGGCAAATACAAGTAGTGAACACACACCCATTGGGTTTTCATGTTTTATGTTTTGGGTTTTCACTTTTCGCCCTTAGGATTTACCAGGACAGGCAGACAGACAGACACACACAAACATTTACTTATGGGGGGCATTAGATAGACTTTTATTGTTTTTATACAGTTATAAATACCATAACCTAACCTATTCCCAAACACTAGAAAACTTTTTTGCATTTGTATAATTTTAAGAAAAAGTTTACGTTATTATTGTTTCCAAATGTGAAAACTCCCAAGGTGCTTATGTCAGATTTACTTTACTTTTGGGTACAAATTTGCCCCCAAAATATGGTTAAGCGCACACGCACGCAAGCACGCACGCGCACACACACACACAAGCCCATGTAACACTAACCTAACCTCACATTCTGTCCAGATGGTGAAACTGTTTGATGACTGCTCTGAATTCTAGACCTCAGGTCACAGTGATGAATTAGGAAACACTGATTCGATCATCATCCCCTCAGGATTCACACAGGTGCTCAAGTACAATAGTGAAGACACGGACTAATTTTTGACAACCACAGTGTCCGATTATTTACTCTTATTTTTGAACTGTATATTAAAGAGGGCATTTTCACGACACCGTTTTCAACTAAAAACGTATGCGTTTTGGCCATTAACGTTTTTTAAAGTACACGTTTTTGAAAATTATCCCGTTATTGTCTCCGTGTAAACTACAAAAATACACATTTGTGAAAACGGTGACGTCATGCACATACGTATTACGTGTTCAGTCAACAGACCCTAGAAGTATAGACATGTCTTACTAAGATGTGATTATAGTGAATAGTTTATACTTTTTATTTATACAGAAATGGACCATGTTGAACATAATAGACAGTTTATGTTTTGTTTTCAGACAGTTTAATATAACTTTCAAAAAACAAACTTACAAACGTTACTGTCACATCAACAGCAGCTGTCACAGTTGCTAGGCGACAAGAACAGTCCTCCGTAGGCTAGAGACAGTCCCATTTAACAACGCCAGTCCGAGCTTCGAAGGATGCAGCCTTTGAATCGGCATATAGCCAAAGTGATCAAAGAGGGCGTTGGGTGACAGATATTTAAGAAATCGCCCACCACTGGCTCACTCCCTTCATAACAAGTATTTTTTGTCATTTAAAAAAAAAAAAAAAAAATTCAGTCTTTACCTTTACATTTTCCATCTCCATGAAGAAAACCGCTTATAAATCATACACAAAAAAAAAATTCTTGAAAACATAAAAATGCAGAAAATTCTGTGAGGGTTGTGTTTAACGGTATGGTTATTATGGAATTATAGAATATATACAGTTTGTACAGAATAAAAATCATTATGTATAAGTCTCCCTTAAAACATGGAAACCCAACACTGTCATATGTAAGGAAGCAGTTATGTATATGTGTCCTGTGAGAGTACAGATGATACATCTGTGTGTATGTTTATGTCCGACAGACTTTAACAAAAACACAAGCTAAAGTCAATATAGGCCTAAACATACTGCAAATTAAGCAAATTTAGCAAATTAAGTCTTATATTTAGTTACACTAATTTATCATATTTTTCAATTCCAATAAGCTACATTTCAGATGGGTGTTGCCTTGTGAGAACTGAATCTTACAGATCTCCTCTCTTCCTCCCTTCTCTGTCTTTACCAATCTCTCCATCACTCTATTTCTCTGAGAATCTGAGATTCTCTGTGGCTCTATGTGGTCGTATAAATAAACTTGTTCTCCTTGCAGACAGCACCTGAAAAAATATATAAATAATAACCAGAAAAATCAAACAATAAAGTTATGCTAATGTGTCCTTTCTTTAATGGGTTCTTTATCTGGAGGAGTGTCTCCAGGCTAATTTTCTGCTCTCAGGTGTTGAGCGAGTGTTTTACATTTCTCTGTTTTTCCATTGATGTGCAGTCCACTGGGATACCTCAGGTTTTCTATTCTTCATGCCTAATTCACTTTGATAAAAGCCATTAATGCTGCATGAGACACACACACCGAGAGAGAGAGAGAGAGAGAGAGAGAGAGAGAGAGAGAGAGAGAGAGAGAGAGAGAGAGAGAGAGAGAGAGAGAGAGAGAGAGAGAGAGAGAGATTCTTGATATTGAAAAAAGTTTGCCCAGTGTTACTGTTAATTACATGACCAACGCATGTTAAATCTGTGCTGTTTCCTTTATTGGCACTAGATGGCAGAAGATGTATATTATTATTTTATGACTTCAAGGCCTCCCATTATCTTTTTTAGGTCTAGTTCACATTTCAAATATTCTAGTTTTCCAAGACTGTGGAAACCCTGGTTTTTCAAAGAAAAAGAAAAAAAGGAAAGGAAAAAAGGCTGTTGAGGAGTGCATTACAATAAGAAATATGTTCCTTTTTAGCTGTTTTACCTCGTTTTAAAACTTGTTTTGTCTTCTTTTAAATCCTTTTAGGTCATCTTGAGGTCTCCTTTGATGTTTGCCGAGGCCCCTATAGTGGGCCCCGACACCCTTGTTGAGAAACACTGGTCTATAATAGCCTACCTCTGTCAGCATTCATGTTCATAATAAATTAATAATATTTAATAAATGTAGTAAATAACAAAAAAAAAATGTTTATTTATATTAAAATAATTAAACAAAATGATCACTGGTTAAACATCTAATATAATATAATGAAATA